ATTACCCCCTTCCTGCTTCTTTATTCACTTATTTTGAGGGTGTTAAATGTATCTTCTTTAACAAACAAAAGGAAAAAAACCAGACTTCAGAACATCATTAACATGTAAAGCACTCTGCAGAAGCAGGAAGCTAAAAAGCTAAAGGAATGTATCAGATCATTGTCTGACCTACCTAACAAGCTGAGTAATCTGACAAGTCTAGAAAGTGTTTCCAGAGTAAATCATAGAGAATTGTGGTCAGCATTCTTGGAAGCACATTATTAATTCTGTACCTAGGTTATTACTAGATGTGATCACTAGTCATAGCAAGATCCCATACGGCAATCACCTTTCTTTTTGCTTTCTCCTTTCGCCTTGTTTCTGATATGGCCGCTAAATTGTCCGTAGCGCAGATTTGTTTAACAAGCACCTAGCTTTAAGGGAAAAATAGTGGCAAGTTTCAAATTGCTGTCAGCTAAAGTATATCTTTGAGGTTAATCTTTCAAGGACCAAAGATTTAATTCAAAAGTGTGGCCTACCAAAAAAGGAAAGAACGTGTTACCTCGTAGTCAGGGAAAAAAAATGCCAGTGCCTGTTGTCTGTAGGTTCATTTTATATCATGTATTTGGAAAAATGTTCTGTATTAAGCAATTGGCTTGGTTTTCCTTTCACCTCCCCACCAGGTTGTTACAGCTGTGCCAGCGAACCATGGCACTACCTGTTGGACGAGGAATGTTCACTTTGTTCTCATACCACCCTGTCCCAACAGAGCAGTTACCCATCCCTAAGCTGAACCTAACTGGTATGTTGGACGGTGTTTTCTTCCAAAGAAATTCAGTGTTTAACAGAACATGATGGAGTTTCTTTCCATTGTTATCCTGTTTCTTCCTGAACCTCTTGTAGTTTTTGTAGTGTCTTTCTGCAGAGAGTTTCATAGCTTAAGCGTGCTTTTTGTGAAGATGTGACTCTTTTTGCTTTGAATCTGCTGCTTGCTGTTTCTTCTGGAATGGTCACTATTGGTTACTATCTAACATTGAGACTTTATAACAGATATATTCTAAGAGAAGTGAAAAAATTGCCTGATAGCTGGCCCGTCTTGGAGTCATGCAAGTCCACATTGCTCGTTTATCTAGGATACTGTGTTTTCTCCCTTCTGATGTGCCTGAATATACCTGATGCTGTCTCGGATAAGAAGCCTTACCTAATGTGCTGTCAGTGTTTATTCACGTAGCACCCAACTGAAGTTGAGAGGTGTTTTTGAAGCAGTTTGGAATCACCTAATTGCTTTTAATGATTTTTGTTGTGGGCAGGCCGAGCTCCTCCTAGGAACACCACTGTTGATCTGAACAGTGGGAATATCGATGTGCCTCCTAACATGGCTTGCTGGGCCAGCTTTCACAACGGAGTGGCTGCTGGCCTGAAGATAGCACCTGCTTCACAGATAGACTCTGCCTGGATTGTTTATAACAAGCCCAAAATTGCCGAACTAGCAAATGAATACGCAGGCTTCCTCATGGCTCTGGGTCTCAACGGGCACCTCACAAAACTTGCTACGCTCAATATACATGACTACCTAACAAAGGTGAGACCTT